AACTACTGGTGTAAGACACAAAGATTGGAGTCTGCCTTTTACCTTTTACCCAGAGCAGAGCAAGATTCAGTGTAGAGAGAAAAAACAATTATTTAACTGGCAAAGTGGGCAAAACTAACAGTAATTACTTATTATTATTATTATTATTATTATTATTATTATTAAATATTAATATTTGTTGTGGTTTTACAGGAACTCTATTAAATACAATAAGTAAAAATACAAAATATTAAAAGAAATGATTATAAAATAAATGTTACTTTTGTAGAATTAAGTGCTGTCAAAGTTAATGCAGTTAACACTGCAGTATCTCACTTAAAAAAATAAAATAAAATAAAAATGAATGCAGGTTCTATATGACCCTATCAACCGTAGTGCCAGCCCGGGTTGCCAGGTCCGCGGTTTACCCCATTATTCCCCTTCCATCCAGTAATCACAAAGAGCTTTGTGCTTTGTTAGTCTCCGCTCTTGAATTCTGCCCATCTTATCACAACATTCAAATGACAAATGCCTTTTTGACGCTTTTAAATGTGGCGTGACAGAACCCTGTGTATTATACTTTTAAAAAATAGCAGTTGTATATAATAGTTTGGGCTCTGTTGTTAATTGTACCCTTTAATGTACCAAATGACAAGGTTTCCTGTATAGTTTACAGCACTAGTCAATTACTATCAGTGGCGAAATTTAGTATCGTGCATCCCTAATATATATATTATTATTAGGGTTGCAAAGGGGAGGAAATTGGCAAAAATTTTCTGAAAGTTTCCAAAAATTCCCATAAAGTCTCCATTACATAAAATAAAAGATTACATAAAATAAAAGATTTTGGATTTTCCTTTTTACAACCCTAAACTATTATTATTATTATTATTAAACTATTATAAAACTATGAAGAATAAGAATGTAAATGTAATTCTAAATGTCATTCTACCAATTAAAAAAAAAAAAAACTCTATACCTTCTGACAATCTGAGCAGCCAATAAGGTGTATAATGTATGACCTCACTGACAACAGCCCTCGTCCCACAGCACTAAAGTAGGTGACCTGTCGAAAAATAGGGCCGGTTTTTATCGCCAGACAACAGGCATGTCACAGTCTGTGCGTGACTCACACGTGCCCTGAGCTCTACAGCTGGAGCAAACCATTTTACTCAGTGTAAATAAGCAAACACAGGTTTGCAAAAAAACACAGAGACTGTGAGTGTGTGCATGACACTCAGGCTAACAAAACCTGCACACACAAAGCAAATACGACCTTAAACATATGCTGGCCTGGTTTCGTTTTCCAGTGTTGTTCTGCATGTAGGTGACAGCGGGCATAGTGGCATCAGGCAGTAAGAGAGCAGCACGTCACACTGTGCTCAGCCATGTCTGACCGATCCTTACTATTGTCACATCTAATCACATCCATAGGCTAGAACCAGCAGCTTCTGCGGTGCCACACTTGCCCCATCTCTTCTACTATACTACTTGGCAGAACAGAAGTTCATGGCAGTTTCTCAATGCTACAGCCAAGTCAAGTCAAAGTTTCACTGATGGCACAAACATATGGGAAAAAGCCACAGCAATCACTTGTTATTTCATCGTTTACTCACTCTCACAAAATGAGATCCTTTGAAAAAGACCAAAAAAGTTGGAAAAAAGTTAGGTTAGGATTAGGAATGCTAAAGGCAGCAGAACAGATGTATGAGTCCTGTGTTTGAGTCAATAATATGGTTGTTGTTTTTTTTACGGTAGTGACAACCGCATTCTGTTATAACCAAACTCACACCACATTTTCTGGACTTACAAGCATATTTTTGGCAAAGCCCTGCTGTGAGAACATAACCTGACTGGCCAACTAGTTTTCTGTCATGTCATAAAGTGCGAAAGGCACTCTGCCCTACACATATTATTGTGTTTAGCATGTCTTCATGCAAGGTTTGGATAACTTACAGAGACGCAGAAATGAGCTGTGTGTCATCTGAAGATCCAGTCTCTGTCTTCCAACGGAGCTGCTCCAGACAGTTTTGTGATCTGAGCATGACTAAAACGCTCTGCTCAATACAGAGGTATGAAAGCTGTGGTTGGTTAATTAAGATTTAACGGATGAAACTTGAACTTTTGTCGTGTGAAGTGTGATAAGACTTTGCAGTTTTGGATGGCGTTATCTTTGGACATGGGCTATGGTGACAGGTGATTGTCACAAACAGAATACAGGCTTGACTTCAGCTGCACATTCATAAAGACAGTGCTCGGGCCTCTACTGCCAGCTGCTGTGTGAACAGGACATTTCAAAACTCACATCTATAAGTAAATGTGAATGTAGCCAAATTCATTTTTGGGTGAACTATCCCTTTAAATTGGCCTCAGTTTCATGAAACAATCATGAAACAGCATTTGCAATCCACTTTTACACTCATAATGTGCCTTATTTCTGAATAAAACTGAATATTTAACAAGGAAAAAAAATAACTTGAAAGATGATTTTACCCATTAGCCGGTAATCAGATGTTTAAAAGCGGGCATTTTAATGCGTTCACACTTAAAATTCCAAAAAGATAAATACCCAGATCATGTACTTAATATAAAATTCATACACCAGATAGAGTACCTTGTGCATAGAGTACAGTGCGTCATTAGGAACATACAATGGAAGTCAAAGGTCACCAATACTCTTGATTACCAACAATCTTCAAAAAAATCTTTTGGAATGTTTCACAAAAGAAACAGGTTTGGAACAACATGAGGTAGGGTAAAGGGCGACAGAATTTTCATTTTTGGGTGTAAAGAAAGTAAACGAGTTTTTTTTTTATTATTATTATTTCATGTTGACTATAACATTCTCTAAAAGCTGTCATTCATGAGCTAATGAAGCTACAAAACTCTACCCATCAGCATCGGCATTATGTAAGAGAGAGAAAGACAGAGGCAGAAAGAGGCCAGGCAATATGAGCAGTGAGGTGTGGCTGCACTTAAGACACCAGAGAGCTCAGAGTGGAAGAAACTGGACGAAAGCTGAGAGGGGAGCTTGAGAAGGTACTGGCCTGCAACATCACCGCAGAGCTGAGGACTGCCTTAACATTCCCACATGCTCTCTATGGAGAAAATGGACTTTGATGGGAAAACAGAAGAGGGTTTATAACAGAATTTAAAACAAACATCTGGGAAAAAAATATCTGAGCTTGTAACAGGCCACCTGTGAGCTTGCATCAGGATCTGTCGGTAAGATTATAGCTGGCAAATAGCAGTCACGACCACTAAGGCCAAAAAATGGATATGCACCATGCCACCGAAAGGGAATGAGAATGCAGTTTGCTCTCAATATTCAAATCAAAAACAACTGCACACAACCACAACAAAGTGATAGTGTTGGATCTGCTTGCAACTTTATGACAACATTAACAACAACGACATATTAAAGTTGCGATTAAATGGAAATAGCAAGCAGCACATCTTTTCTTCTGTATTGTGGCTTACATCCGAGTGCAATTAATTAACAAAAAAAAAATGTAGGGCGGCACTTGGTTCTATGCATCAGTTGTTGATGCACTGGAAGATCGAATTATGACGTTCTGATTAAACATCAAGAGGACAAAACATTTTCAAATAATGAAACATGCACAGATTAATTGTTCACAATAAGATCTATAACATGTATTTAGAAAATAAATGGTGAAATTTCCACTTCGTCTTTAAAATCTGACCATCATTTTAGTCCTTTACACATTAATTCTCATGTTATTTACAAAACATAACCTTCCCTGTGAGCACCAAAACACATACATTTATAAGCATTTTCAGTGAACCCCCCCCCCCCCAAACAAAACGGAGAGACCACCAACTTGAGCAGCTATTATGGTTACAGTCACCCGGTTACAATCTGAAGAAAAGATATTGGTAGAAACTGCTTTCACTTGCTTAATGGTAGAGTATCACTTCTAGCTGCATAGTCCCTGTGGACACATAATAGGGTACTATATACACTGTTTCAGGATGAACCATTATAAAACAGGTGGATATGTGGAACAAAGGCATCACAGTGTTTATCTGTAGCATCATTAAAAAGCAGGTACACATATATAGGTTAATCTCTCCTGTATAACATTTTACACAATGAAACACTACGGTGACAGTATCAGACCTGCTGATCAGTTCAACTCCACACTGGTTTTCCATTCATGCATTAATAATGGTTTTGGTCAAGGACACATGGCTGAATAGTGATCCGCCGGATATCAAAGCACAGTGAGCGGTCAACCTAAACAGGGTCTGTGCATCGTTCATTTCAATCGTGATCAAATACGCTGTCTAAACAGGTTGTGACACCCATCTACGGCTTTCCTCCCGGTGACTCAGGACCGTGAGCCATGAGAAACCTGAACCCTGCCGCGTACACGTGATCAAAACACCAAACGCGAGTTTATAAGAGTAGCTGAGGAGATTTTAGATCATCTCACCTTTGGCTTCGCAGTCGGCGCAGTATTTGTTATCATCCTCTCTCAGCATTTTGGACAGAATGGCCTGATGCTGCTCGTTCAGTTTCTGAGCCTTTTCCCTCTCCGATCGCGTCGTCATCTCGGCCCGATTTCTGTCAGGGTTTCTGGATAAAATCACCTGTCTTGCCCCCGATTCACTTTGTTCAATTGTATCGTTGTAAATGGAAGACCATCCCCTCTGAAATGAAGCTACGGTGGGCTCGCGGCTACGGAGCGGCGACTGGGTTGAGACAGATCGGCGGAATATGGCCGATTGGAGGAACTGGCCGGAAACGGAAACGGAGACGAGGAAGGTACGGTGAGCCGATTAAAATCGAATTAAGAATTAAGTGGGAACTGGGAGAACGTATAATCAAATTTAAGTGGTAGGCCTATATTATTTTTATATCGATTTAAAAGTCAGACCTATGCTTTGTGAAATGTAAATAGAAGAGGGCAATGTGACTTTTACGTCATTGCTGACGTATGTATGCGTTGGAGCCGGTTTGACGCGTAATATGGAATTATGATGTTTAAATCATATCTTACATAGGCCTATTCTACTCAGAATGTTATCACTGGCCAAATCCTGCTGAATAGACTAGTTTAGACAAAAGCTATTTTAAAAACTGGGTGACATTTAAATCTAAATTTGCGAAAGTATACTGTCTACATTTTAAAGCGTGACAATAAACTTTTAAATAATAATTAAATTGTTAAAAATGTTATTTTAAACAAAAAGTTTAAACCATGCAAAGTTTTAGCCACTTAATTATTTTACATAAACAACCAAATCTAGGCAAAATGTATTAAATACAAAATAAATTCTATGAGAAAAACTAAGAAATATTATGTCAGAATTATGATATTGTTCAGAAATGTATAACTTATTTATTGAATGTGCCTTCGGGATTTATAATACCCTGCAAGATATCAGCCAAAATACCATCATTTGTTCAGTTTTGTTCCCTTTGTAGAGTTATTATAGTAAAACCATGGTAAATGTTCATTTAAATGCTGATCAGGGGTGCGTTTCCCAAAAGCAACTGTGGTCAATTACCATCGTTGCCAACAGAATTCAACGGAACTAATGACCATAGTTAGCTAAGGATGGTTTTGGGAAACACACCCCTGGTAATGTGCCCTGATAATGCATTTAACCTCTCCTTAAAAGCTGATATGGTAGTGCTTATCTGTAACAATCCATGTGCAAATACATAGGAAAACTTTTGCAGTAATAACTTTTTTTTTCCACAAAATAAAACTGACTCATCATTTACATGATCACAAACACGTCCTTGTGACTAAACTTTCTGACAAAAAAAAATATTGCGTTGAATATGTTTATTCTTTGAAGAGATCTTTCAGCCCTTGCAGACATTTGTGTTACACGCTTTCAAAGAGAATAAAAACATTAGATTGCCAATAGCGGATTATTGTCCATTAAAGGCTGAACAGAACCGTTCAAGTAGTTCAAACTACTTTTACACAAACTATTCATTCTACATAGTAGGCCCATACAATCAGGAAACACTTACACATTTCTGCTCCAGAAATTCTCTTTTTGTATCTGTATGCAGAAGTATTAATTACATTCAAATGCTAAATAAATAAATTTGGATATTTTTAACAGGGCAAAAACTAAAAGTCAATACAACGTCCCTTCCTCTCCCAGTCACCATATCGTGTAGGTTCAGGACCTCTGGGACCACCTTTCTCCTTAGTTTCTGGATTCACACCATCTGGAAATCCTGTTAAAAGAGAAATGAAATATTATTTCATTTTATGTCATATTAATTGTATAAACTTAAATACATTTAATTAGTCACTTATTTATTTATTATTTCTGAGCTATAGTTCATGTGTAGGCTATATCCTTTCGATAGATACCCTCTGCCCTTTTTATGTAATTCATTGTACAAATAATAGCCTATAACTGTATAACAGAAATGACGTGTGTTCTTACGTTCTAAAACATCTTTAGATTTTGACTCGGTTTCGTCCATGTCAAACCGTCCTTGGGGCGTTTTCGCTTTCTTTAACGGTTCTTTATCTTTGGTCACACCACCAGATGCATATCCTGCTGTCCAATGACATGCTGTAGAGGAGAGCAGCGATACATTTGAATAAATCTGTCACAAATTGACATGTATTAAATTAAATGTATTAAACAAATTGACATTGAGTAATCAATATAAAGGATGTTTAGGAGATATGCATATTACTATGACATTAATACAAATCAATGCATGTTGTGCAAGCATGTCAATGAACAGTTAAAACAATAGGTTGCACTCACCAGTATAAGTCGACTCTAAAAACAATCCTCTCTTTACAAAACCTCTAGTCGTAGTACAGCAAACACGTAAAAGAGACATGTTGCGTGGACCCTGTACTAATCTGTTGTGAACTTTTCCCTTGTCGCAGCAGAAAATTACACAACTGAAGAACGTTTTAACGATTGAAAATGACGATGCATGCGTCATCATTTAGGGACACAAAATACACTCGAGAGGGTCGCGGCGGCGCTAAAGAAGTGCAGAACCGAATGTTGCGTAAATGTACATGTAGCCTATCTGCTTTGCATGCAACCTTTCAAAGCGAAGAACAGATGAGAGAAACATTGTGAAAACCAGTTATAAAATACTACAGAATAATAGTTAGATTTCCTGTGAGACATAAGCGGTAAACGGCTAATTTTACAGAACTCAGAAAATTACAAAAATACTGTTTTTGATGGTAGCATGCAAATGCTATATAAAAATGACAAGCTGAAAAAATATGATAGCCTATATTAGACATGACGGCATAAACAACTATATGGACAATTTATGAATTATCAATTAGCCTAATTAAAGTACATTTATTTGATGGAATGTGACGTGATTTTTCTTAATTGCATTGAAATACAAAAAGAAAACAAAAACTCTTCATCGTGCAATGAATCTGCAATAGGCCTACTGTTTTGATAGACATACATTTTATTTAGGCTACATGCGCTCGCAAAAAAATAAATAAATGAAAACTAATCACTATTCGAATGTCTTGTCTGTTTATTTGCATATTATTAATATATGCCCGACATTATAAAATGTGTCAAATACAATGTAATAATAATAATAGGCTAATAATAATAATGATGATAATAATAACCAAATAGTAATAATGCAACAATTGGGAAATGCGCAGAGTGCATTTTATTTCCAAAATATTTCACACTTTTATAGAGTTAGCGTAGCCTTATTATTGTCAGGGCCTCAGATGTATCTTCTGAAAATTGTATGATATTCCTCATATTAATAGCATATAGCCTACTGTGGGAAATACTACCAAACTAGTAGGTTAGGATGTAGTTAGGACCTAGCCTATATGCAACTATCACGGAGTCACATTCTTTTAAAAATTATGTTTTTAAAACACTAGGCTATTAAGATATGTTTATATGTTATATTAAAGCCTTCATAAAATCAACCGTTTCGTCTGTCGTGTCATTTGGAGCGCATCACGTATAAGGAGATGGCTCTATTTACCGACGTTCGTGTACTTGCGTTAGTAGTTTCTGACCTAAATGACTTCTATCTCTTAACATTCTGGAACCTTTTAAACGACACTTATGTAACACATTATAGATTTCGGAAGAGATGATGAACCTTAAACCACCTTCCGATGCATTTTTGGATAGCCTACGCTTCTGGTTATTTTCAGGAACACCATCACATCTGCACATAGTTATCATAAACACACTTTTGCACTCTCCAATAGAAAATTAAAAAAAAAACATCCATTTATCATGCAACCAAAACTGTCATTCACTTGAGTAGAGATTCATCACAGATAGGCTATCTGGGATCTATCCACAATGACAAAACCTGCGATGTGTTGCTATTGACTATTATTCAGCAAAAAGCGCTAAACAATTCGAACAGTTAGAATGACCCAGTCTTAGACATGACCACAGATATTTAATCATTCATATCAAGCTATAATAAAATATATTTTATATAGGTCACGCCGACATCACCGAAGAAAGTGAAGGACAAATACAAAATCTTGTAATTACATATATTTCAAGTAAACGAATAATAAACATATCAGTGCTACCAAGTTGATCTGCCTTTTGATAAACTGTTGGTTGTGTAAAATGAAAATTTAAAAATAATGTATTGTAATGTAAACATATTTCTGCAACAAGTGCTGTAGCAATTTATATCACGCCTCTGAATAAATGACTATCACAAGAATTAATAATTAAAATCGTTCATGAAAGCCCATTTTTCCTGTAGAATATATTTTATTTCACAGGACTATTTTTGCTGCAAGTGTTCTTTAACAAACATGCAAATCCTCCAAGTAAACCTAAGATTGTGAGAAAAAAAAAACATAGGCCTATCGAAAAATCAATTGGTAACACTTTATTAAAAAAAACTTTGTTCATAGTCATAACAATATGTAATGCTCATCAGCTTATTAGTTGGATGCAGTTAAAACAGTAAATTAGTTCAAATAAAGCTTTGATTAGCAATAGCATGACACCCATTCGTCTAGGCTACGAACGTTCGTTCTTTACTTACAGGCGTTTAGCAAAAGTGCACATAACACAAGAACACGCTTTACGCGCTATATCCGGTGCCTCTTCATCAATTATAGCTTTTTACCCATACTCGCCTGTTTAAAACTATTAAAATAGCCTCATTTTTAGTTTAAAATAGATATTTAAATTTAAAAGAATTTAACATTAGAAATTTAAATTCCAAGTACCCATATAAGTAGATTAACTATAAATGTGTCAGTGTTTTAAGTAGCCTACACTCTAAAAAATGCTGGGTTAAATATAACCCAGCGCTGGGTTAAAAAGGGACAACCCCCAACACTTCTAGTGCCTTTACTCACTGAGGGAATCACGGCTGTAAACTGTCAGATGGTCTGTGAGTTTAATCATCGTCATTTTGGCAAGGAGGTCCTCAAGCATAAGATTTAATTTTCACTTGTTTGCGGGTTTAAGAGGTGCAAGCTTCTCAGGGTGTTCTTGGAGACAGCGTATGGTCGTATGTTTTCACCCTGCATGTGTCTAATCCTGACAATGACAAGGATATTAATTATAACGAGGCTCACAGTATTTGCATGCACAACAGAAAGGTGGCGTTTTGCTTTAGATATTCAACAAATCAAGCAGTGGTCTGCTTGGTGACAGTAATCCGGTGTGTCCTTACGATTTATTTAGCATAATTCTGGACACTATTTGATATTTGACGATTATTTTAATAGTAGGTTTACTTAAATTAATAGCCTATTGGGGATACAGCCCATAATTCTACGAATAATCGTACGTTCGTTTTGTTTGTTAATATTTTATTTGTAGCCTAATATTTTGTGACTTATTAATGGAAATTATTATAAAGTGTTACCACAAACGTTAGGCTATTGGAAGTGTACAAAATAAACTTAATGTTTGAGAGACAAACGAAATACGACAGTCTTTCGATTTAATCGAAATGATAAAATCAATCAAACAATATAGTCCTACTGCACGACTGTAACAGAGAGCATCAAGTATTCTAGTTGTTTTATACAAGCTGCATCTTAGGTACAAATTAAGACTGATTTTACGTTAAAACAAGAAAGTAATGTGATGCTGAGATATTCCTCTGTACATCACACGTCCATAAAAGTCTCTTAATCAGTGTTGGGGACGCTACTGATTTTTCCCGTGTTCTCAGTCCAGGGCTGGAGGTTCTGAAGTGCGAATAGAGAGCTGTTGTGTAGGCAGATTGGGTCCGGAGTAACAGATTGGTTTATAGTCTTTTGAAAAGCTTCTTGCTGAAGTTGCATAAGGATTCGGTTCGCTTGCTGTCGCTCGGCTTCTCTCTCCTCTGCTGTCTGCCGCCTGCATGAATTTGGATCATAGCACAGGAGTCATTTAGTCGGTGATTTCAGTCATGTTTTCTAACAGCCGTTTTAGTTAGTGCACTGAAAAAAATGATACAACATTTTTTTATGGTAAGTGGTTACAAACAACTTATTTTAGCTACATCTAAATTAAAAAAAATGTTAAAAGTTAGTAAACTAAATGTGTTTATTTAAATGTAGCTCAAATAAATTGATTGCAACCACGTGCAAATTTTTTTTTTTGTAAATTCAATTAATCATTTTTTTTTTCAGTGTGGTTGACTAAATTTAATAAAAAAATACAAACCGGTGATCCTATAATAAAGAATACAAAATTAGCCTACTATTTTGGCATAACTGGTATAATTACTTAATAACGTGGATTTTTCAAAAGAATTGGCACACCTTACATCGTGATGTCAATCGAACACTTGTTTCATAAACGTTCCATTATTTTTGTTTTTGTCATTAGTTTGGAATTCACTCAGATTAGGTAGGCTACGTGGAAATCTTATGGTTTGAAATTGCATATAGGCATATACGTTGAAAATGCAGATTATATATATATATATGTGTGTGCAAATTATTATACATTTTATTCAAAATCACGATCATTTTCATTTATTTTTCATAAATGTCTGTGCACTTCAATTGTTGTGATTGTGATAAATTATTTTGGTAGCGCATAAACGTCATCACATCATTTATCCTGCTTGTACAGCATGTAATTAACCTTCTAACACAACTAAGACTTTAGGGAAACATTTGTTGCAGTACAACAGAACTTAATTTATGTCGATTTCTAAAAACTCGATACTGGCCCATCAGCGTCTGCTAAAATGACTTTAGGTCTGCTCAGTTCCAGACCAGGCCTAGCAGAATGTATAATAAAATAGTAAAAGCTGGAATAAAAAAGACATTGGCAGAAGACCATAATTAAAAATATAACCTGTTTACACTGTCAGGAAGCAGGCCACAGTCAACCAATATTGGTCATTCCAAACTAAATGGAGTCAGTTAAACATATATTGATGTATTGATTGAATTAGCTATTATATACTGAGTGAACTGCATATACATGCCTTCCAAAGCACGATATGGAATGCATTATGCAACTGACCTAGCTGACCTCATAGAGGTCTTTAAAACCAACCCGTTCATACTCAACTGGGTTTAGTGGTGAGACGAAAAAGAATGCATTACGTGTGAGTGTAAAAGCATGATTAGATCACAAAAGCTCACCTCCATTTCGTTCTTCTGTTCTGGAACCATGTTTTGACCTGCGCATCAGTCATTTTAAGTGCTTTCGCTAAGGCTGCCCTCTCAGCTGACGCCAGATACTTCTGACGGTGGAAGCGTTTCTCCAGCTCGCAGATCTGGAGGCGCGTGAACGACGTCCGGGGCTTCTTCTTCTTCGGAGGCGTTCGGTTCTGGTACGGGTGACCTATACGGCGTGTTACAGTGAACGGTGAGAGGGCCACTAGATTGAGAGACAGAGTGAAAGCAAGCGGAAGAAATCAGCAAAACGACAGAGCCAAGCAGTGAGAAGCAAATGAGACTTCCAGTGATGAAAGATGACTTTTGTACTTTGAAAAAACATGCAACAATCACGAAATATATCGAATAAATTCAGCCAAGTAAGCAAATAGACAAGAATATATATAGGCTAATTGAGGAAAAAATACTTTTTTAGCATTTTCTTATTACGACGACTGTGTGAAATGTAATAAATAAATAGCCTAAACACACACACACTGTAAAAATGTTTTGTCAGTTATAAGAAATGTGCCTCATATGGTAACATCTAAATGAAGTGATTTCATTCGAGTCGAAAATATTATTTATTTGGACTGAATCAACCTGATTACATCAGGTTACATCGGTGAAGTCAATTTGTAAGGGTCAAATCAATGTTGTTAAGGTAACAACAGCACATTTTTACTTTTTACCGTTTGTAATTCCTTTAAATAATAATGCTAAAACAGTAATGAGCATGTGGAACATTTACAGACGTGATAAATCAACATTGAAGTTCTCATGTGAGGAAAAAAGTCTTCGTCTTTGACAGGAAAACATTTGTATGGATATTAATTTTTAAGCTACTTTTCTTTGGCCTACGATACATTTGTAGTGATTGTTATTGTGTATAGAAACTTTCATGTTATTAATTCGCGGGACCAGTTTAATTTTCTTTTTGACAACGTTATAAAAACAACTTAAAAAATAAACTTTAATTTGAAGATGTTTCTATAACGTTGTCAGAAACAAAATTAAAAAAAAAACGATTTAATGGAGTGGCTTTAACAATGAAGCCCCTGCGAATTATTTTAGTTCATGGATTTTAAAAATTAACAAAAATTTAAAAAGTGTAATTGCTGCCTAAAAATTGTAAATTGAATTAAAGTTGTGACAAGGTTACAACTTACAATAAGTTTTTCGACCGCTTTGATCACTGAATTACTGATAAGATCACAACACAATGAAAAAATGTTTACAGTGCAATTTCTAACAAGAACGCAGATTCAAATAAAGCATATACCACTGCAAAGTTCAGAGAGATTTCTGTTACCTGTAAATCTGTCTTTGGTATATCTCCTGTTACTCTCCATCCAAGGAAACGATAATCCCGTGAGATTGTTAATGGTGCCCATGCTTCCCATACTTGGCACCGTAGTAGCGCTGGTGGGAATGGACGAGTGAACACTGCTCAGCGGCCGGTGCGCTGGAACCCGGATCACTCCCGAAGAATTAAGGCAATTCCCATTAACATTCGTGCCCAAGTTCATGTTGTACGAGCCGTTGAGGGAGCCAACGCTGCACGAGTTTCCATTGTATCCAGCCGAGTTATTGACATTGTAGTTGCCAGTCATGGTATTATAGGCTGTGCTGACTATGCAGCCCAAACCGTAGTCCAGGTCCTGCATTCTGGGGTTGGAGATCATGCAGCTCCCCTGGTCTGCATTGTTAAGAATCTGATCGATCCCAAAACTGATGGTGTCTGCGTGCGTCTGGTGGAGATGCGCTCCCATATGATCCATGGTGCGGAGAGGCGCGCGCGCTCCTGCGAGCCTACAGGATCCTCCACGTCACCCCAGTTATCATATAGCAACTAAAACGCAGTTTAGTCCAGATTTATCGTTATCTAATAGCATTGACTGCATGTGTGAGAAGGACTGAACTACAGACGATTGTCTTTTTTACTGCCTCCCTTTACCCTTATAGCTATAGCCTGCCGGATGGAGCCACGGGAACATCAATCAAAATGCCAAAGAGGCTGGGTAAAATTAAGCCTCCGATTCTGGGGTGAGAGACCCAATTGGCTAAAGAAACCACGACGAGTCTGTTCAATGAAACGCACTGAAATTCCCTTCTCAGCAGGGCAACTCAAAGAGATTATTTATTAAACCAAACACCAACGATTTTTCAAAACAACACAAAAATGACAAAAATTACAAAAAATTCAATTACATCATTAGCTTGGCTATGCAGTCTCTGTTGCTGAGATATTTTCTCGTTGGATACTTTTGATCATGCGAAGATGAGGCTGTGATTTCGAGGACAAGTCGTTTTCACTCTTTTTAACAGTTCAATATTTCGCGACCATGAACTCAAATGAATTACAGTGGTTTGTCAATATTTTATGGTGAGAAAGATCAATCACACACACAATATTTTTAAAAGCTGTCAACGATATTACATTTCATTGTGAAATTAAATAAACCAATTATTTTTATCGGAATAATTGTATTCTTCATCAAAAAGAGATGATTACTGATCACAACATGGGGAAATATGAAGGAAATTCTAAATGAAATGTCTGTTTAAATGTTAAAATATTTATTTTAAATATGGTGAGTCACGACAGAATTCATTTATAATTCAAGTTCATTTGGTAAGATACTTCGATCCTTTGCAGTGTGTTAACTTTTGTATTAATTATTCATTTTATTTTGTATGCATTAATCTAAATAAGTATCTATCTAAATAAGACGATAACAAAACAAATGTGCAATATTAGACGAAAATATTGAAGAAAGTGGGTGGTGATTATTTAACGTAAGATGCATTAAAGTATTAATATTTGATGAGGCCCAGATTAATGCTGGCCAAATGACCAACATTAAAGTTTAATGAAGTGCAATGGTGTATATTTTCGCAAAAATTGACATTTTTGTTACAGTAATGTAGACTTAATTATAGCGTTTAAGATGTGCATGCGCTGAAGCTTACAAAATACATTATTATTAATGTACACTGCAACTGGTGGGTCTAAATGATTGTTTTCCCTTACAATTTAAACGAAAAAAGATGAAGCCAGTAGAATGTTAAGAATTGGATTCAACTGGAACGATCCATTTATGTTTGATTATAGTATTATCAACCCACAAAAGTCCACTTCAAATGCGTCATTTATTGCGTTGCTATTGATACACGTCATTCCTCTAATGCAAATTAATGTGACGGAATTGAAATGTATTGATTTACATAGAATTTACATACAAAACCGTCTGTCACATTTGCCTTCTATTTTTAAAATTATGTAAATTTGAAAGAAATGTGTGCCATTTAATTTAAATTAAATGTCATTTATGTGCACAATTTGTTGGTACCAAAATAGTTTGCGCAGTAAACAAAGCACTATTTCGTTTTTTGATTATGCATTGATGATACCTATGTATGGGAAGTTATAATCTCAGTTGTAATTTTGTCATTCCCCAAAACTGTTCAGTAAAAAAAAGAAAGCGTCGAGCAATGATATGGTTACCATCTTAGTTAAGCCAACACTACGACGCGACTTTTACCGTCATCGTTTATACACTCTAAAAAATGCTGGGTTAAAAAGGGACAAACCCAGCTATTGGGTTGTTTTGACCCAGCGGTTGGGATGTTTTGATTTGTCAGCATTTTTTAGAGTGTAGTTACTGAAATGTGCTACATTTTTAAGTAATGATGACTTCAATGTGGATTATATATTATATAGTGTATTAATGCATTAGTGTACCTGTGTAGTACTTGACATGTGATCCATCGGCGCTCACTGGCGCCACTTCCATCAGCCGCATCTCTGAGCGCAGTCAAGAGCGCACATCCATGCTGCTGACAGCTTCAAGTACATCTACACTGAGGCAGCACTCTCATCAAACATGACAAGAATTTAGCCCCGCTTCATTTGCACGTAACTAATTTTGATATATTCACAACTATATTATCATTTTAAAAATGAAAACAGAAATCAGAAGCATCAGATTTTTGATTTAGCTCACTGTCCATCTGGAAAAATTCATTACAGAGACAGACATTTAAGCTTCCTGTATGTTTTAGAGTTTATTTTTGAGATATGTTTGTGAAAGGTGATACCTCTAATGAATGCTCATTGATTTCAAAAGTATCTCACGCAGTCCTTATGATCTTGAATCTTTGTATGTTAAAATGTAACATTTGTAGTCCTATACTGCCTCAGAATTACAGTTCTCAGTTTTGTAATAAGGGAAATGGGCTTTTACTTTCAGAGGACAGAATGTTAGGTTCACTGTCTTTAACCTCTGAAATAGATGGATGAACTTCTTAATGCATTATGTCAAAGGGGAAGGGACCGGGCATTTTTTTGGCCTGTATTGTTAAAAAGGAAATAAGAGAACAAGCACACATTTTAATACCAAAGGAAAAACTGTACAATACACCATAAAACTTTTAAGTACATCTAAAATAAGCAAGCATCAAAAAGCTTTCATTCTCCAGACATGGTTTCTATTTATCTTTAATATGATTTAAAATTACGGTATAAAGCTAAGATGGCTTCTTAATGGAGTGTGCAAGCTAAAGTATGGGCTCTTTTACATTTTTAAGGTGCAGCGCTAAGGTGAGACAGAATATGTTTGCTGGAAGAATTAGTTTGGTGTTCAGAAGTGGAATGATGACCAAGCACCAGTTAACAAATGTCCAGATCAGTTGCTGAGGTGCTGAGGGACGGGACATCCATTAACTTGTTGTGTCTCCCATACTAATGACTTGTTTTACTGGATAATGTGTCTGTCAGAACAATTATTTGATAAATTGCCCATCGTTATAATATTTCTTACAGTCGAGAAAGAAACAAAACACTTTTGCAATGAGAGATTAACTTGACTAATGTCAACCTGGTCAAATTAATCTGCAAGTGAACAAGGCAAATTATTAAACTGGTTGTTTGCCACTACACCGAATTTAAGAAGTCAAAACAAGACTATGTTATGACTCTTTTCAGGCATCTTTCATTATATAAGAACAATGTTCCTTAATGAGGTTATTAAATCATTATCACAGCTAATCAATACTAATGAAGTTCCCTGCTGCACATGTATAGGATGTATATTATGAGCGCTGTTTGTAATGTAATATAATGCAATTTGTGTGTGCAATAACTTGGCAAAGCTGTATCATTAAATATTCAGGTCAATTTAGCCACTGTGTACTTTGGTATTAACTATTAGCCATTATAATTATTATTAGCCATTACAATTATAACTAGTAGCCATTGCATCCATTCTCATGCTGTTGGATAATTTTCAGGCTCAATCTAATATAACGACACAAATTACAAAGTAGTAAATGTCGCCCCTCATGATGCTTACTGCCGGAGGCGGCTTGTGATGGCTACGCAGGACAGATCGCTCACAGGTTGAATTAGAGTACAGATTTATTGTCTGAATCCCCACTCCCACTAACACATGGGAAGACTCAATTTATACTCCAGGCACCATGTGGATTCACTCTAATAGTGGACTTGACACCCATGACAGCGGAAGCTGCTCCTCCCCTGTAGCCACTGGATGGTGTGTCAGTCCTCTCGAGTGCGGGTGCATCCTGTCGCCTGTTTTATTTAGGGGAGGCGGGTGAAGCCGGCCTCACTTCCCTTTTCCATCCTGAACGCAGGAGCCCAGCTGGGACCTGTTTACTTCACAGAGATGGATGGACTCATCCCACCAGCTACTGGTCATTACGTGTGAGATCAACACTATTGCCTCCCCTCCCAAGCTCCACAGACCAAACAGAGAAAAAACTCTCCTCTAGAAGCCAGTCTGTTCTATTAGCTGCTAGATTGCCAAAGCAAATATCCATATATCCAGTAACTAAGGATATAATGATTATAAAAACATCAGACGTCTCCCTCCTGTTTGTTTTGAACTGTTTCATAGATCATTATTGCATCAATAGATGAAAATGTAGCCTACTTAAAGGCATAGTTCACCAAAAAATGGGATTTACTTGCACTCATGTTGTTCTGAATCTCTATGACTTTCTTTATTCTCAAAAATGTCTAAATATTTTTTCATTCCTATAATGAAAGTCAGTGGGGTCCAATGTTGTGTTGGACTCCACTGACTTTCATTGCATGATCTATAACATTAGTCCATATATTTTTTCCCCAAAACTATTTTCATTTGACAAAACATTTCCATTCATTTTTGGGTGAATTATCCCTTTAAACACATTTTTTTTTATATAAAATAAAGGACAATAAAACAAGAATGAATCATAGATAATAAGTGACGAAAAAGCAGAAAATGAGAAGAAAAAGAAATGAGGATGAGAAAAGCAAGTGGGAAAAGAATAGATAATAATCCAGCAATTTTACAATAAGCAGAAAGCAGTCATTAATCAAAATTACATATTATATGTGACCTAATTTTTCTTTTTCATTATCTTCATTATGTACCAAATACTGCAGCATCTACTCTGAATGCATAAAGAGATTTTCATACATATATTCATGATCACATTGCGGGAAAAGCCGGCAATAATTTTTCATTAAATCCCTGACAACGTTATCTACATATATATGTATCTAAATGTTGAACGATCAGGGATTTATCCAAACAATGCCATTAATTTCCTTTATTATCAGGAGCGCAGCACGCGGGGCAACCAGAGACATCATAATCTGTCATCACACGGTGCCTTCAACAGGTAGGCTGTTTTTGTGTTTATCTTTTCCTTCTTGTTCTCTCTCCCCTCGTCCCAATTATGCAGCTTGCTACACCATAACAAACAGGTCCAC